CTGGCTCGGCGGGCTCCGGCTCGCGCCGCGGCCGCGGCTGCTGCCGGGGGGCGCGGCGGGCGCAGCAGAGCGGCGGGCGGCGGCGGCGGCGCGAGCGGCTCCCTCCAGTCCCCGCGCGGGCGGCGGCGGCAGCGTCGTCGAGCGGTGCAGACAAAGGAGGGGCGGAGGGAGGAGACGGAGGGTGTGGGAGAGGCGGCTTCACCGGCGCGGGCAGGCGGGCGGCGGCGGCCGCACTCCTCTCGCTCCTCAGCAGCGGGGACCGAGAGAGGGAGCTGTGTCTGAGGAGACGCCAAAATCCCCCTTAGCGCTGCCCGAGGGAGGGGGAGGGGGCACAAGATGGCGGCGACCGGGGGGGGGCGGGAGTTCAGCTCATGGATCCCGGCAGGCGGCGGAGGGGAGACCGGGCCGGCGGAGGCGGCGGCGGCAACGGGCGGGGGAGGGGGCTGATCCCGCGTCTCCCCTCAGCAGACAATACAAGCGCCTCGGAGCGAGTCCCCGAACCTGCCCTAGCCAAAATGGCGGCCGAGAAAGAGCGGAAGTGACGTAAATACCTCATTAGCATAAGAGGACTCATTGTCCAGCTAAGTAGGGGGGTAGTGGGGGACAGTACCCCTTACCCCCATGTCCCCCAAGGACACCTCTCTCACTCCCACCTGTGCCTGCACCTAACTTTTTTGGAGGGAGGGTAGCACCAGCACCCCCACCTAAGGGAAATTATATAATCCCCACTGAGGGGGAGCTCTCGCGAGAACCAAGAGGATTTGCCATTGACCCACTAGGAGGCGCCGCGGATAATGGCCGCAGTGCGCTTCCAGGGCCCGTGTGCACGGCGGGCGCCTTCCTCTGGCCGCAGCGCCGGCGGCGGAGGCACCAGCAGCGGGCCGCAGCACGCCCTGCACTCAGTCAGGTGGCCGTGCTGGGGATCCCTGCGCGGGCCCAGCTGGGCCTGGACTACATCTGGCGGGAGGGGGCGTGCGGGCAGCCCGGCGGCTCCACGTGCTGGGAGGCCTGCGCTCTCACGCGCCGGGCAGCACCGGGAAGGGCAAGGACACCTGGCCCGTCGTGCGTGATGCCTCCTGCCTTATATGAGGTGTGAGGGCCTCGTGCTTCGCACACCGACTGGAGATGAGCCACAAGCCCATGGAGCCCTGGTTCCTTCCCGGTGGGGTGGGTTACTTAGTGGACAGGGGCTGACATTCTTCCAAGTCGGTGATGGGCTCTTCTCTTTGGCCTGAAGAAAACAAATGCGAACCCTAGCGTTTGGGGGCCACCGGACTGGTGAAGCCTAAAGATGAGCAATGATGTTGCTGATGGGCCTCCACAAGATGCTCAAAAACTACCCTTCAACTGTGGTCCCAGGGACACTTCTAGTGTTACCACAATCTGGATAGCACAAGATAGCACATGGACAGTCTGTGCAAATTTAGGTCAATCCCAACCAACACATTATCTCAACATTTGAACCCACCTTTTGGAGTAGAGTGCATCTGAGAGTATGTCATAGGCTAAACATACTGAAGAGTAATGAACGCCATCATGAAGGACCAACCAAGCCTGTTAAGGTGTGCTCTGTAAATGCACTGATCTTTGGCTGTTTCTCTAAATTTCAAGATAAAATAGTTTCAAACCATACTTAACATCCCAAAAGATTCTGACTTAATTGAAAATAGTACTAGTTGTGGTTACATATAGCTCAGTGAAGACTTCAGTTAGCAGGTTTAAACAAGCCATTTCATCCAACACAGAATTTCATTAATTTCTGAAATTATGACAAAATATATCTTTAAAAGCCAAATCAGTATTTCAAGGGGAAACGAGAACTGGAAAAGTAAAAAAAAAAAAGGGGGGGGAGGGAGTGGCACCAAAGCATCTGATTTAGAGAAACAAAGATGAAGAATCTAATTACATGTTACAGAAGACAGGCAAGCTACTATAAAATAAGCAAAATAATTTTATAACAAGTTCAGTTTTCCTTAAATATACTTAGATTTCATACAGTGATAATACAAATAAATACAAAGGGAAGACATCTGGATTTCATACTTGGCCTAATTTACAAAGTAAAAGGAGATGCTAGGTTCACACGTAAATGTTTTAAGATTTTAGTGCTTAAATCATCGGATTTACTACAAAAATGCATCTAAATAGTTCAGATTCTTTTCTAAATAACTTCTACATGATGAAAGTCTTCACTGCTCAAATACTTTCTTTACCATCAATTCCAGTAGTGACAGGGTTGTGACTATGGGATTAAGAACCAAAAAGATTAAAAAGGCAAAAGATCACTATCTACTCTAGTGAGGTCTGAAGAAGGCAATACTTAGTGAGTTCTCCGAGGTAGTTACTTAATCTCTGCTCCACATACTTGACAATAAAAACTTTGGGTTTAGATGAAGAAGGAGGGAATCTAAACACTCAACAACAACAAGAGTACTGTATTTCTATTACATTAGGTAATTCTATATTAGACAGTGATGAATTTTCTAGTTATTATTAATGATGAAAGAAGTCATTTCCCCCAAGAAGGTGGGTCCATGGTGTGCGGGCTGGCTACACAGCTCTGTGTAAAAGGGAAACAGAATAGTTGAGGCCCTTACTGGAACGTGTCCTATGGATTCAACTATGGGAGTAGGTAATGTTCAAAATGATACCAAAGGTTTTATAGTCTGGTATTTATCTCTGGTAGGATCTGTCAGAAATGCAATGGAAAAATCAGATTTTAAATTTCTTTAGCAGCCAAATTAAGCCAGGAAAATATAATTAGGAATACTGTTCAATAAATATGCTTATTAAATAACTTAAGAGATGTCTCTTCCTTTTACTTGCAAAGGACAGTCAACTTGATCTTAAGCTTATTTGCTCAAAGTACGCCTTCCCCCAAATTCAAAAGATACCATGTGTTTCATAAGCTATGCTACAGTTAGAAATTTATCTTTTTTTGAAACACTTAGGTTAGAGAAGGTAGGTAAACAATATTTGTGCTGGCTTTAATGTGCATTTTAACCGGCAGAACACTTACAGCTTAGTAGTAAGATGTTTACAAATTACTATAGCAGCTAAGTCCTGAAGTCATCAAAATATTGATGCCTTAATGTCATCAGTATTTTTTCTTACTGATAGCAGTTATTGCTCAGGATAGAAAAAAAAGTAGCTATGCAATCAATGGATGTCAAGTTTCCAATTCAGTATGTATTTTTAAATAGACTTGCTTTGACAGATGAAATGCTTCATCAATTCAAGAGCTACAAACAGCCCAACTTTAAATTCATGATCTAAACATACTGTTTTATCTAGTTTAAGAAATCTGAGATACATTTTTAAAGAAGGGGCAGAGGTGTCTACTTCTTCATTCATATGGAAACAGGCATATATATTTCATGAATATAATTAACATTATTCTTACTTCTGACATCTATTACAAAGAGCTATGAATCCAGTTCTTTATATACTTCAAAATCTTTCCCACGTTAAGAAATTCTGCACTCATATACTCTAATGAAAGCAGCAATATTTTCTGAAAGAAAAAGAAACAAAAACAAAACCCAAATACATTTATTTACAAGTCTTAATACAGCAAAATCAAATGGAAATTGAGAACACTGCTCATTTTTCTAATTTAATTTGACATATAAAATGGAGTTTCCTCAGAAAAAAGATTTGTATGAAATTTACCTTACCTTATGATTTATGCTCTAAGAGTACATTTTATAAAAATCAGCAACCGGGCTTCTTTTATGTTTAAATGAAATCAACATAAGTATAATGAACAACTTTCTTTTATGTAGTAGCAAAGAGAGTCAATAATCCTTTCAAGAAAGAGACTATTTCATTTCCTCCCAACTTGGATTCACCATAAACACGGTCCACAAATGATATTGGAACCTGGTTAAAAAAATATACGTTGTCAGTCTTCAAAAATATTAGAAAGGAAGCATAGCAAGCATACAATACAGTACAAACAAGATTTGTATTATGATAGTCCTTCAAGTAAGTTCAGAAGTTAGGTGATTCTTATAGCAACTGTACCTCCAAATCTTTAAAATTAAACATTTCACTACCCAAATACAGGTCATATGAACCAAATCTACAACCATTTGAAAAGCAATGACCCTGAATATTAAGCTGTTGACCAAAGTTTCAACCTCTTATTTCAAGAAAAAAAAATTATACTCCAAAGTAAAATGTCCTTTCACTGAATTTTTTCAGTAGTCCATTAAATTTATCTGTTACTATGTTTTAGTGTTAAAAATCTTGACACTTCCACAGGAGACGTGGCATTCTAGTTATTTTCTTGCTATAAGAACATTAGTGTTAGAGAAAGAGAGCCTTTCCTAAGAGCTCAACAGCTAGCTGTAAATATTACTGACCACTTCCGCCCCCATAACTCCTGTCTTCTTCATTTACTCATAGAAAATGGCAAATGGATTCATCCCTAGAGTGGCTCTTGGTTATGGCAAGAGGAAAGGGAGCAAACACACTCATCCCACAGTGCTGAGTGGTCAGAAGAAAGGGCAAGATGCAGAAGGTACCAGTACCTTTTAATTCTTTAAAAGGGAATACTGCCGGGCGCCTGGGTGGCTCAGTTGGTTAAGTGACTGCCTTCGGCTCAGGTCATGATCCTGGAGTCCCAGGAATGAGTCCCACATTGGGCTCCCTGCTCGGTGGGGCGTCTGCTTCTCCCTGACCCTCCCCCCTCTCATTCTAATAAATAAATAAAAATCTTTAAAAAAAGGCAATACTGCCTTCTATTAATGTTTTAAATCCTGGTAGGTCAAATGCAGTTAATTTGAAAGTGAATTTTCACCCTTTAGTGTGTGGACGTTCTAACTAGAAACCTCCCACATTTATTTAGTAGTTGTGCAAGTTAAACTTTTTATCATAAAAAGTCTAAACCTACTGTTTCTTTATGGGGAATACAACATTCTATTTACCATCAGTTTGCCTACCTCGCCAATAGTATAATTCAGCTGTCGTGCCCGAACAATCATCTCCATCTGGAACACATAGCCTTTAGAAACACATTTTTCTATTAATTTCTGTAGAACTTCTTTTCGGTATAACCTGTGAGAAATTAAAATATATATGAACACCTAGGTAAATACACTTGCCTATATGTATCCTGACCTTTTGAAAGTTCACTGGTATTTATAAAACCTAAAATTTTCACTACACATTTGCATGCAGAAAAACTGTCACAGCTTATGATTATGATACATTTGTCCTGAACTGGAATGGTCATGAAATATTTGGTGAATAATTTAGAATAATTTTGAAAATGAATTCTTAGTATCTTTTAGGGAATTAGTTTCCTACTATACTACCAGAAATTGTAATAGGGTAAAGTGAATCATTTGAAGTAGAACCACCCACTGTTTTAAGTTTTTAAATTTTCTTAAAATTTATTTTTAAAGTTGAACGAAGAGAAACCGTTCCAAATACCGCAACAATAGAGTTGATAGATGATGAATAATCAACAATATACAGTAGATGACAAGAGCAAACCCAGTAATTAACAGGTGCTTCCTCATAAATGTCTGAGCAGTTTCTATTTCCCAAGATGTACTAAGTAAATTTCCTGAGATAAACGAAGTCCTTTTAGGAGACTTAACAGGGAGCTCCTGAAGAAAGTGACTTCCCAGCTCCTCTCTCTTACTTTATAAATCTGATGTGCTCCGTGTTTGGCCTGCACATTTGCCCATTACAGGTGTCTAACTGTGACCTCAATTGGTGATAGCTGTAGCCTACCAGGACTGCCTCAATCCTGCAATGCCTAGGTTCCTGTCTTAACCTTGTGTGTCAATCTAACAAAAGACCAAAGAATTAACATTATTTAATGGAAAAAAGCAAATACCAACTAATGTAAATTATCAACTAATGCATGAAGTTTGGACCTTAAAGTAGATGAACAGGCATCTTATAGTTTCAGAGATTAAAAAAAATGTGGCAGTCTTTAGTCATTTGGCATGGTCATACAAAACAGTTCATCTTCTACGGCCAAGTCTAAAATTAAAAATAACCCACACCCCCAAAACAAACAAAAATTACCCTTCCCCCAACCTGAAGGAGGCTTTGTTCCAATTAAACAAGAATTTTTTTTTTTTAATTAAAAACATGGAGATCAAGGCAACTGAAAACAACCTAAACATTAATTATTTTAAGCTCTTCTGTGGACAGTGCTATAAATATTCATATGAATTGCAGAAAATTGCTGGAAGAGGTGCTGTTCTTTGGAGCCTATTACCAGTGATAGCAATGTTCTGAATAAGAAGTGAGCAGCCACCTTGGCCCCCTGAGGCCCCCACTAGGGGTTGAGCACCAATGTGAATGTTAACAAGCAAACTAACCTAAGCCCTACCTTTGATGCTCTTTAGAAAGTACATTTTTCCTTAAGAAGATGCTCAAGCCTCATTAGCAACTTCTAAAGAACTTCAGTCTATCTTTGTGTGTTCCGGAACAAAAAAGGGATAGAACTAAAAAGCATTTCTTAAAAATAAGCCATTGTATACCAAGAAATTTAGGCAAGAAGTTGTAAATAATAGAAAATATAAAATTACAGTTTTTACTGTACCTGAAACTTCCTGTTAAATCAGATGCTCCTGGTCTGAGCAAAATCTGAGTTATAAAATTGGCCCCGCGGCTGTTTAAATAAAACAATTAGATTTTCTTTATATAATACATTTTCTAAACAAGAGAAACACATCCCAGATCAGAGTGCTCAAACTGGTTACACTAATTTCATAAATGCAACACTATTTCACAAAAATGTCAATTTTACAGAAATTTTAGTCAGTAAAAGATCTAATATTCTCATTTTTGAGGAAATGGGGTCTTTTATTCTTCGAATGTGACATTTAGAGGGGACCTATAAAACAATCATTCTTCTAAGCTTTAGGTAAGAAAGGCTAACGGATTTTTAATTCAACTTGCGTATTTGCCACCAGTCCTCATTTAGAATTATGAACATCTCTCAGACAGCAAAAGGAATCAGGGATTTGGAGTTTCCTTTTCAGATTCTAATAATCACAAGGGATCACAGGTTTCAATTAGGCAACAGGTCAGTCTGCATAAAAATGGCACTTTTTTAAAAAAGAATGTATGCAAGCGGGCAAGGGTTTTGGTTTTTGGCAATCTCTGGAAATTGAACAAAAGGTTCATTCCAAAACTGTTTCAATCTACTTGGGCCGCTATAACGAAACACCACAGACTATGTGGCTTAAACAACAGATACTTATTTCTCCCAGTTCTGAAGGCTGGGAAGTCCAAGATCAAGGTACAGCAGACTTAGTTCCTGGTGAGAACCCTCTTCCTGGCTTACAGAGGGCTGCCTTCCTGCTGTGTGCTCTTCACAGGCGAGGAGGGCAACAGAAGCCAAGCTCTCTGGGTCTCTTCTGGAAAGGGCACTAATCCCACCATAAGTGCCCCATGGTCACTAAATTTAATTACCTCCCAAAGGCCCCACCTCCAAATACCAACACTTTGAGGGTAAGGTATTTTAACACATAAATTTTAGCAGAGACATCCAGTCCGTAACAATGACAGGGTATGTGCTTCAAACACAACTAAGTATCAATTTCAAGCTATTACTAATAGCTACGATTAAACATTTCAAAAAGATCTGAAGTGCCCATGGAAAAAGTGACTTTTGTATTGCAGCTATTTTAGTGGGCTCCGATTCAGAAAAAAAAGTTTTCTGGGGCAGACTGGAAAGAACAGTTTCTCTCCTAAACCAAGGTAACTACCAAGGCCCTCCCTAAGAAAGATTATTTTTATATGATTAAACATGGTTAGGGATATAGCTGGGATAATAGCTAACAAAAACATTTTCCCTTTCAAATTGCTTCCAATAACAAAATAATTCTAGGACACAGTTTACCTCTCAAAATGGGTTTAATCAAAAGGAAAGTGAGCGTGTATGTATATACGTGTATGTATACGTATATTATTTGTACCTCTAATCAAGTGAATATATTTCTAAATTGGGGTTTTTATTTTTTTTTTAAAGATTTTATTTTATTTATTTGAGAGAGAGAGAGACCGCGTGCGTGTGTGTGCACAAGAGGGGGTAGAGTCAGAGGGAGAAGCAGGCTTCCCGCTGAGCAGGGAGCCTGATGCAGGACTCGATCCTGGGACTCCGGGATCATGACCTGAGACAAAGGCAGTCGCCTAACCAAACTGAGCCACCCAGGCGCCCTAAATTGGGGTTTTTAAATTAAAATGCAGCAAGAGGCAGATGGGCTTGGACTGAAATTCTAGTTCATACAAATAAGTCCGTGGGCAAGTGATTACGTAATCTTTCTCAGGAGTATATATATACTCTGAATCAGTGCAGACATTAACAACTAATGACACACACAACTCAATACAACTTAACGATCCAACTAAAAGTTGTAAAAGGTCTCTGATTGGGACTCCCTAATTTTAAAATAAGAGCTGTGATGACCAAATTCAGAGGGCCTGAGAGATCACTCACTTGTTCTCAACACTGGCTGCACAACAGAATCATTTGGAGAGCCTGTGAAAAATACTGATGGTTTTGCCCCACCCGTGGAGATCCATTCGCATGGTCTACAGTGTGTGCCCGCGCACACACAAAGAAAGGGAAAATGATAGGGAACAGTAATGTATGGTTTTCTCTTTACATGATTCCAATATTCAGCAGAATTAAAAACCACTGTTTTATCCAACCCCTTCATTTCACTGAAGATTGAGGCTCTTACAGGTCTTAAATGACTTGCCCAAGGTTCCACAGTTAAGAGGCAGAACTGTGATTAACTTAACAGAATCTTCAACAGGAATGAAAAGGGTAATAAAAAACACTAATATTATTAAGAATATGTATAAAGGTATGCTATCATATATTAAGTAGTAAGCTACATAGATCCCTTAAAGATCTCATCTTCTCAACCACCACAAAAAGGTGATATAGATTAAATATGGTCAGAAATTCTTTGTGGGTCTTCCCATCAATAAGTGGATTCTCCTTCCCCATCCCTAGATTATGGGTGTGTGTGTGTGTGTGTGTGTGTGTGTGTGTGTGTGTGTGTGT